TTATTCCTAATTCCCAGGACTTTTTTTTTTATTTTTTTAAAGAGGTGCCGGAACTTTCATGAGGGAAATGAAGTTTTCCAGCCGTATACCAAAAACTCATGAACTTTACAATATTTTTAAATAACATTTTTAAAAGAAAAAAAAATCCCTGCTTATTCCAATAGCCTAGTTACCTGCCTACAGTTACTGTTAATAAAGAATAATAAAGCCATAAAAATAAAAAATAATAAAGCCAAATGGAACTGGATGTTTGTTTTTTGCTTCTCTACACAAAAGACACAAGACAGGCATTTTAAAAAATCTTATATATGAAAATACTCTGAGATCTGCCCCATCCATATCCTGGTACCGAGGGGGGATGGAGTGGCAAAGATACCAGTAGTGTGCTGTCCCCAGTCAGCGTTATCAGTAGTTTAGTAAAACTGCGCTGTATCTTTAAGACTTGTTGCTTCTGGGAATTGTAGTTCGCAGTTAAGGGTCCCAGAAGCTTTCCTCTGACTGGCTCATTAAGAGCAATTTCCTAACTTTATGGGTCTTTTCCGTTTTTCTTTGTTCATCAACTCTTATGGCATGGAGAGGGGAAGCCTATCTCTTTCTCACCACGGCTATTGAATTAACCTAGATCACAAGATGTAACCTCCCACCCAGCTATTGTGAGTAATGCTGGGCGGGGCCACGCCATTTGAGGGGAAAGCGCTGGCTAGTCTCAGCTGGCGCTGGATGGGACAAGTATAGGGCTCCCAACTCCCCCGGTAGGGCGGAAATCCCCCGCCCCGGAGGCTTCGTTCCCCGACGCCGGGGAATCGGGGCCCGGGGGAAACCCCTCCCCGGCGTGCGCGTCACCGGAAGTGACGTCGCACGCTGGGGGTGGGGCCACGCCATTTGAGGGGAAAACAAAGAGTTTTCCCCTCAAATGGCGTGGCCCCGCCCAGCATGTGACGTCACTTCCGGTGACTCTCCGGCAGCGCGCGTGCACTTTGCGCGCGCACGTTCGCAACCGGCTCCCGGAGCAGCAGGACGCTCCCCCGCCGGTAGGTTTTTTAAATTTGGCAACCCTAGACAAGTAGCACCATGATTTATGAGCCTGCAGAAGTAGGGCTCTGTCCCACATGGGTCGTGGGTCATGTCCTACAGGGGTCATGAGAGGGAAGAACCGAATGGCTGGCCAGGGACTGGGCAGGCAAGAAGGAACCTGGGAGGAGGGGTGGAAGAAGGACCAGCAGGTGATGAGGCTTGGGAGACAGGGGAGGAGATTGTGAGTTTGCCACATGAACGTTAGGTGTTGAATATCTTGGAGGTAGCAACCAGTGTTCCCTCTAAGCTTTGGAGTCTTGTGAGCAAAAATTCAGCCTTGTGAGCTACTGGCATTAAAGTTGTGAGCGAGCGATTTGGCTACTGCATCAATCAGTTTGTTTGGAGCCGTCCTCCCTGAGCCAAGACAAACAATTGTGAGCCGGAGGCTACAAAATTGTGAGCTAGCTCACACTCACTCAGCTTAGAGGGAACACTGGTAGCAACTTCAGCACCTTAAGCTCTTCCAAATCAGTTCCACATGTTTGAAGTGCAAATACTGCACCAATGTAGAGGAATCTTTTTTTTTTTTGGTAGGGTTGATTGCACCCTGGCTCCTCCCCGCAGCTTTCATTTTTATCTTAGTTCTGGAAATCACAAGAGTTACTCTGGTGCTGGAAGCACCTGGCGAGACCAACTCCCTTGCTGGTGTTTGACATCAGCTGTGCCAGCTTTCCCGTGGGGGAGGGGGTTGATTGGCAGAATGGCTCGCCCTCCACAATCCGATGAGCTCGTATTTTTTGTGAATGGAAAGAAGGTAAAAGATTTTATTTATTTATCGGTGTGCTACTTTTTAAATCCGAAGAATCGTGAGGGAGGCTAATGATACACTTAGGATCAGTCCTTAAAAGGGACCTTCCAAATTGATTACATTTGAATGCATTTTCTGTAGTCATTGGACATTGTCGCATGTCATTTTTTACTAATTGAGACTGTTGTGCGGTCGCACTTTTGTAACCGTGCTCAGGCAGATAAAACCATCCAATTGTTCATGCTGTATATCTAAAAACGTGCAAACAATTTCTCAAGTTTGAATGCCCAAGACTGATTAAAATGGACAGGAAGAGAGTATCTAGCAGTGTCAGACTGATTTGTCTGAAAATGAACCCAGCCAGCATAAAAACAACTTATCTGATGTAGTAATAGGTTATCCTATCATTCCACTTCTAAAACAACATCCATATAGAAATTTGCTATAAGTGTAGGTAGTCCTAAGGAAATTTAGGAAGAAACCTGGCAAAATCACTGTATTTCTTCCCTTTCTGCTTGCAGTGTTTGCAGCAGAATGTTTAATTGACTTTGTTTACTGCATCAGAGGTCACTGAAAAATCGGTTTTATCCAACAAGCTGGGTTTTAATTGAAATAACTTGGGAAGATATTGAACCTAAAGACTTCTAACCTTCTGCAAATATATCTGCTTTCCCCCAAAGCTTCCAGTCATAAATTCCAGCCAATCGGAGGTTTCCAACACTTGACGAATATTTCAAAATATGCCAGTTATCATTTCAAAACCAATTACGGATTGATTACATGTTAAGGAACTATGGCAAATAATGAGTCAGAACTCAAGTGAGATAGATCAAGAAAGGAAGAAATACAGTGAAATTAAAGCATGGAAGACCTTTGTTGTCTAAATCTGATTTAAATTAGCAATTTTAATAATTCCAATATCTCTACAAATATTCTTATACTGATTAACAAATCAAATTAAATGATGAATACAGTTCCTGAACAGTGTTCTCTCTAAGCTGAGTTAGTGTGAGCTGGCTCACAGTTTTTTAGCTTCCGGCTCACTCATTCTTGTCTTAGCTCAGGAAGGATGGCTCCAGAGCAAACTAATTTATGCAGTAGCCAAATCGCTCGCTCACAACTTTAATGCCAATAGCGAACAAAGTGGAATTTTTGCTCACAAGACTCCACAACTTAGAGGGAGCTTTGTTCCTGAATAAAGTCAAAGATGAACGAAGATTATCATTGGCCTGCCCAAGGGTTCTTCTAGGGTTCTTCTAGCTACTATGCCAATAGCGAACAAAGTGGAATTTTTGCTCACAAGACTCCACAGCTTAGAGGGAGCATTGTTCCTGAATAAAGTCAAAGATGAACAAAGATTATAATTGGCCTGCCCAAGGGTTCTTCTAGCTACCAGAAGTCTTAACCCAGGGTGGTCATTCTTGCTTGGTGTCAGAAGTGACACCAACCCTCCTACCCTGGTTGGGCCCACGCTGCAGATTAAGAAGTCAAAATGTACAGCAGATAGAGAACGTATTTCTTAAGACCCCATAGATTAATGTACAAACACAACCACCCCCATATGACTAATGAAAATTAAAATAATGCTCCACATGTGCAGGAGGAAAAAATAACCTCTTTAAAGTACATCCTTCTCACATGCATGTGCACACCCACAAGTAGAAAAGCTGCTGCAGCAGGGGATTTTTATAAGAAAAAGAGCCAGAGGGAAGAAGACTTAACACGCAGTCCCTCCCAAGGCTACATTTCACCTTTAACACCCCCGAATGCCAAGCCAGCAGGAGTCTGATGTCTCATCCAGTCTCACCAAATAGTGCACTCAAAGTGGGGAGCTCTGTGCCCTGCAACATTCCAAGGCATCTTTCTAAGAAGTAGGGTTGCTGGGTTCCTTGGACCTGCCAGCAGGGGATGGGGATTGAGCTTACCGGGAGCGGGGAGCTGAAAATAAATGCAATGTGCCTACATGACCCGGAAGTGATGTAGGCACATTGGGGATGCTGGGGGGGGGACACTCTGGTTTTTAGGCAAAACTCTATGGTAGAATTAGCTTCTAACATAGAGTTTTGCCCCAAAACCAGAATGTTGCCCACTGATACCACCAACATGCCTATGTCATTTCTGGGTCACGTAGGCATGTTGTTTTTATTTCTGGCTTCTTGATTGTTTTGGGGGGGTAATGGGGGGGCGGAGAGGAGTGCCCAAAACCGGGTGCCCAAACCCGGGGGACCCCGGCCGGCACCGGGGCGGGGGGGAGGTCTGGCAACTCTACTAAGAAGTGAGCCAGGATGGGCTTGCAGAAACTATTCCCGTTCCTCCAGAATCAGAGTTCGGCCAGCCCAGACTTGCCCTCTAACCAGCTATGAAATGCAGCAACCCTTCTCAGTGAAGTAGCCTTTGGATCCAACCCAGTACATTTTCCAGTAACCTGGAACTGATGGTGAAAACTGAAAACACAAACAAACTTCTAGGGCTTTTTCAAAAGAAAAATTTGGAATTGCGCAGTGGTATGTGAGTGTAATTTGCACACATAGTGTGTGCTACTGCCGCACAACTGGGAATTCAGTGATCGTGGCAACAGATCAGCTGTCCCCAATGTGGGGCTCGGGGGCACCATGGTGCCCAACAACACCTTTCCGGGTGCCCATCAATTGCTTTTGGAAAGTAGGCGGGGCTAGGTGGGGCACTTACTCAGCAGGGATCCTGATTGGCCACTGGAGTTCCATTCGGGTGGGCCAATTAAAATAACATTGTTTGAGTGGCAGCTGCCGCCACAATGGTGATGTGATTCTCTTTCACACCACCTTCACAGTGCATTTATTTAAATTACCCCCTCTTTTCCCCTGCACTTGGACTTTCTCTGTATGATTGGCCTCTTAAAGAAGTCATTTCGCAGTTGGCTCCACCTCTTGTGGCAGACATTTTGTGGTGGCTGCCACCACCTGTATCAGAATCCCAGAGATTCCTGCATGCTCAAAAAGGTTGGGGAAACCTGCAAAGGATTGTAAGAATGTTGATGTGCACTTTCAGGATGGCTATTTTTAAAAACTTCTTATTTTCTTAAAGTTCTCAAAAACACCTCCAGTGGCACGGCAGGGAAAATAGTCCCTGTGGTAGGGGGAAAGCTGGTTGTGCCGTAATGCACCATTTGGCAGGTGGCTCCACTGTATTCCTAAGAGCCATGAATGGATCAACGAACCATCAATCTGATGACCGAAAAATTGGCTCCCGGTTTGCAATCAACGAACAGGATGTAGGCTGAACTAGTGGGGGTTTGAGTATTCCTATGAGTATTCCTATAAATGTGTTTATCCCACAGCCTATGCCTCAAGCCAAGAACATTTTTACACAGTTCTAAAATTTCATTTCCCTTTTTCTCCAATCTGTAACACATGCAAAAGGTTATAGTTGTATCCCATGTACATTTTTCAAAATACCTTTCTTCTGGTTTTTACCCTATATTCAGATGTATTCGGTCAATGACAAGTACAAATCAAAAGATCAAAAGATTTACAATAAGGTAAACAGAAGAAGACAAAAGGTCATCCTGCTAACAAAACAGTTGGAATTTAGTAAATTTTAAAATCCGTACATAGAATTTCCCAACGGATTTTACAAGCCACTGAAAAAAATTTTTTTGCACAACTAATAGTGGTCTGTTGATTAACATCGTATATTAACAACATTCACAGCATGTGCTCAAGTATCATGTGTGACTGAAAATGTCTCAAGTTTTTTAAAAGAGTGCTCTCAAAAGAAATATATGCTAATCCAGGGAAACTGCACGTTAACTACTCATTTTATACTAGTTCAGGGGTGGCCAAACTTGCCTAACGTAAGAGCCACATAGAATAAACGTCAGATGTTTGAGAGCCGCAAGACATGAACAAATATTACATGTTTCTTACCGGGAAATATGCAAATTTGCTTTTTATTAACATTAAACGAGACAGCCAAAAATAATAACAAAAGCGGTAAAAGCAGATATCGATAATGATATTTATTTGTCCAATGATATTTGTTTGCTATTGATATTTAGCTTCCCCAGCTGCCCTGCCAGGAGCCGCACAATACACGTGAAAGAGCCGCATGCGGCTCCCAAGCCACAGTCTGGCCACTAGTTCAATTAGCTTCAGTGGGACCCTACGCCTAAGCAAGTGACTATCAAAGACCCCAGTCACACGGGCCAGATATCGCGGGGGGAGGCGTGGCTGTTTGCCCCGAAGTGAACTACCGCGCGGCCGCCGGATCAAACGTCCCGCCGACGTCCCGTGGTTCGGGGGGAGGTGCCGATCATACATCAATCCTGTGGCGCAGCAAAGAAGCGGCGCGGCGGGGGTTCTGTTTTTTTTTACCGAAGCGTGCACATGCGCCGTTGGGTGCTTGTGCGCATCTTGTGGAGACTTGGGGGGAAAACCCTTTTTGCGACGGGACATGGGCGGGCGCCGGATGCCACGAGCTACCACCAGAAACGTGATCAGATGCCCGCCCTTGCCCCGCGGTTTCCAGAAACTAGTACCTCGGAGGTACTAGTTTTTTACAGCACATCTTTGGCAGGAAGCCTCGGGTTAGCCACAGGAGCTCTACGCTTCCCAGATGTTGCGGTTTGATCGCGCCCGGAAAATCCACCTATCTTCTGTCTCTGTAGCGTGGCTAATGCTCCGTGTGACCGCAGCCATACTGTTTCAACAGAACTGTGTTTTCCTTGTACTTCTTCCTCATACACTTTACTGCTCTTCTGATGCTGAGGCGCTTATGGCTGTAGCCAGCCAAGTTCACTTCTATTTATACGTCTCTACTAACAGCGTTCCGTGCACCTTGATGTTTAGTCATGCCGGCCACATGACCACGGAAATGTCTTCGGACAGCGCTGGCTCTTCGGCTTCGAAATGGAGATGAGCACCGTGACCCTAGAGTCGGATTCGACAGGCTTTCGAGCAAGGGGACCTTTACCTTTACCTTACTAACAGATTACTTGCCTATATTTCCTGATTTGGAATGGTTCTTGTTTATCTGTATGACTTGCGTGAGAAAGAAAAATGGGAGCTGAAGAGAAACGGGAGCATTGTGATATTAATTCACCCACTATTGAAAGTACAGATAATCCTCTTTGGCGAGATGTATGATGATCCACCTCCTCTTTCTTTTCTATCGCAGGTAATTGAAAGGTGGGCTGATCCTGAAGAACTGCTGCTTAATTACCTGAGAAAGAGGCGTATCCTTTGATGCTTTTTACATTGCATAACCGTCCTAGTATTGATTCAAAAAGCAAAGAAAACCCAGTAACCAAAACAAACTCAAATCTTTTTGAAAGAAAGGGTAAGAGTCAGAATAGTTGGGAAAAAGCTAATTCCTTGGTTGCAGTCTTTGCCAGGGCCACAGCATGGGAGTCTCTCCTTATAAAACCTCACCCCCAAATAGAGATACTATGTGTTTTACAATGAACTTGGTAAGCTTTATTCACAGGTCATTATCCAGAAAATATCAATTTATTTATTCATTGACATAGTTCATGCATACCCTGTCTTTCCTTCCAATGGGAACCCAAAGCAGCTCACATTGTTCTCCTCTCCTCCATTTTACCCTCACAACAACCCTGTGAGGTAGATTATTCTAAGAGTGTATGACTGGTCCCGGGTCATCCAGCAGGCTTCCATGGCAGAGCAGGGATTCAAACCTGGATCTCCCAGACCCTCTAACCTTGGGGTGTCAAACATACGGCCTGGGGGCCAGAACCGGCCCATCCAGGGCTCTTAGCCTGAAAGCAACTGGTTTGAGGGAGGGAAGGCAGGAGGCTGCTCAGGGGGAGGGAGCAGGCGAGTGGACATATGCAGCAAGGTGTGTGGTCAAAGCTGTGAAGAAATAGAAAGGAAATTGTGAGGAGGCAGGGCGATTATGCTGAGGTACAATAGTATGTGTGTGTAGGGTAATGGCAGTGAAAGTAGAGAAAGAGGAGGGATGGTGTTTTTTCCCCTTCTGCCTCCTCCAGCTGCAGCTCACTGAGGATTGGGGAACCCACTACATGGAGGGTGGCCGGCACTGCCACTGCCACACCAAACGGTGACTGTGAGGGGCGTTGGGGAGAACAGGCATGCAGAGCTAGGGTTGCCAAGTCCGGCGTTGCGCCGCAGCGGGGGACTCCCGGCTTGCGGCTGGAGCTCACACGTGCACTGCATGCACGCCACCTGGAAGTGACATGACGACGCCGGGCACGCTGGGGGTGGGGCCACGACCATCCAAGGGAAAACCATAGTTTTCCCTCGGATGACTGTGGCCCCGCCCCCAGCATGCTCGGCGTGCCCGCATCACTTCCGGGTGATGCGCACGTCGGGGTGGGGCTCCCCCCGGGGCCCAATCCCCCACCAGCAGGGAACAGGCCTCTGGGGCGGGGGTTTCCCCGCCCCCCGGGGGGGACTTGGCAAGCCTATGCAGAGCAGGGGTTTGCCCATGAAGGGACAGGACCGGCAGGGGAGAAAGGAGGAAGAGGAGGAGGACGAAGGCCAACAGCTGTAGAACTGGGAGGTGGGGAACAGCAACCTCCCTTCTCCCCCACACCTGTTCTCAGCCCACGAGGGAAAAGGGGTCACAGGAGGACAAAAAGCACCCCTTGGAGGTTTCAGAAACAGCCTCTCCCTCAGGACTTCCCCTTAGCCCCACCGCTTCTGAGGGAAATGCAAGAGGGATGTTGTGATAAATGGCATTTTTATTATATCAGATTACATCATTTCACTACATCTGCGGCGTCTCTATTGTATCATATGCTTTGTTACAGTGCTCAAGACAAAAATTAAACCCTGAATATATACTGATCAGCATTCTTATGGGTTATGACTGTTTACTTCTATATTTTCAAACTGTATTTCCTTTGATAAAAGAAAACAGGAATGCAGACAATGTTCTGACAAAAAAATGCCAAAATGACACTACAGGCTGCCTTTATTTTCCTTACCCGTGTTATGCAACATAAAGTCCGCCTCACAGGAACCAAGTATGGCTGTGGAATCGGAGGCTGTGGAGCCTGCACTGTCATGGTGTCCACGTACAACCCAGACACTAAGAAGATACGGTATCCTTTTTAAGGGGGGAAAGAAATATACTGGGTAGTTCCACACACAGAGATTGCATTGTTTTTCACTATTTTAACTGATGTGGCTCTTCCGCAAAGAATCCTGGGAACTGTAGTTCCTCCGCATACTGGGAATTCAGAGAAGAGCAAGAAAAGACCTGCCCCACAGTTGGAGGCTCTTGTCCTCACTGTGATTTGCTTTGAACTAGACAGCAGCACTGACCCCCTTTATGGGTGAGGGGAATGTGGGGGTGATGAGGGGCAGAATATGAGGGGAAGGTGGAGACAGAAGCACGACTGGCAGTGATTGCCAAGTTACTGTTCAGACATCAATGCTTGGATCAATCTAAGTTACCACCTTATGCAAAAATCCATTTAGCTCCCCAACCCTTGGCATCTAAACCGTGGCCCTTTCTCAACCATTTCCGTGATTGCGGCCTGTTTCCCTCAAGTCATAACTGATGGAGAAAGGGTTACAGCTGGGAATATCACGAGTGATTGGACGCATGTGCCTTCTAACCTAGCCCTTTGGTGTTCCAAGG